ACTTTTTCCCTAAAGGGCCACCTGCTCCTGTCCTTTGTTTGTGCCACACTAGAATACAGTTTTGACTTTGTATAGTTTTTCTGAAATAGCAGTGTGTGGTTATAACTTATGAGAAATTTTATTTATGGCTTCTATTCATTTTTTTTTTTTTTAGATTGTTCTCTGAGATTATACGGGTCATCCTGTAGCAGATTGGGTTTCAAGAATTCAGATGTAAACATTGACATTCAATTTCCAGCCATTGTAAGTACAAAATGAAATGTTGGCAGTTTTGGAGTAGTATGGAAATTCTTTCAAATGTGAGCTGATATTAATATATTTTAGATATTTGAAGATACTTAGATACTTTAAGTGTAATGGCAATACCTTATTTTCCCTTTATTTTTATGTCTTTTGCCCATATTGAGTTTCAGAATATTTTTAAATACTCTAGAGATATTTTTTTTTTTTTGAGAGGTTTTTCGCTGTAGGGTGCGTGCGCTCGCCAGACAGACAGAGAGAGACATAGAGACAGAAAGCGAGAAATCACCCCCCAGGGGGGATGGTCACGCCGCAATCCCTTCTCCTCCATTCTCCTCTCGGGATCTTGAGCACACACGCACACGCACCCGGCATGAGTTTTAAGCTACCGGGTCCGGGACGCGAACTGCAGTCAACTACGTGGGAGTCCAGCAACATAGCCATTACGCTAACTGCTGGTTCCCACTCTACAGATTTTCATACTTATTTTACTTTATAAATATTCCATATTTCCAACACTAGTTTTCTAACCATGTGAATCTAATGCAGGTATTTGGATTCTGTTAATTTGAAAAGATTAAATTCTTTATAAAAGTCAACTTCCCAATGGCAGGAAAGGAATTCATATTTTAGATAGAGTAGCTAAGTAAACATTTATGACCTGAAAGCTCAATTTTCTCCTTTGTTTCTTTTTTTTTATACACCCGTTTGGTTCATTTAGCAATAATCACACCTCAGGTAAACTATTGGCTGTGCTACTCCTACTGTGCTAAGCTAAATACCTATTTTGTTAAAATAATTATGCATTTAAAAAGGACTCATACCTCGTCTGGATTTCTAGTTCAGTCATGATTCAGAAAGGTGCTGATGAGTCAGAATTTAAACCTGGGAAGCACTTTAGTAGGTAGTCGTTTCATCCATGAGTGACTTCCGCAGGCCAGTGTACAGTCTATGCCCAGTCTCTTGGTTTACGTGTTAAAGATATAGCATGCCCAGTCTCTTGGTTTACGTGTTAAAGATGCAGCTTCTTTTCTCGCTTTCTGTCTCTCTGTCTCTCTTTCACATGCCCTATAGCAAAAGCCTCTTCAAAAAAAAAAAAAGATTCTGAGGCTTTACCCTAATGTTTTATTTCACAATCTCTTGATTCCTTGCTCTATCTGACTTGTATAGCTAACTAGTTGCTTTTACTACATTTTTACCCTTAAGTTCTTTTTTCCCTGCTTGTGACAGGGAGAGAAAATGAGAGAGCGAGAAAGAGAAGGAAAGAGAAAAAACACACTCTCCCCACCCCCCAGTGGGGCCTGGTCACATGATAATCCGTTTTCCTCCAGTTCTCCATCTTGTCAGGATCCTGAGTATGCACATGTGTCCCAGTGTGTTTTTCAAGCCAATAGGGCCAGGACTTAGACCTTTTTCAGCCATGTGTGATCCAACTTTTTCTGCACAACCCCTAGCAACTGCTAACAGGGCTGGCCCAGCCTTAGATTCTAATGATTGATTTACCAGCCAAAGCATTTGTTTTGATCTGGTGTCACACATTCATTTAGCAAATATTTACAAAATACCTGTTTTAAGGCAAGCACTATACTAGATTCTGAGGGACAAACCTCTATGTTCCTCTTTCATGGAACTCAGATCTAGTGAAGGGGAGGGTACTTACCTGTATAATTATTATAATGAGAGCTGTGCGGGAAAATGAACTTCAGTGATACAAAACAATAGGACTGTGTGAGTGACAACAATCATGAAGGCCTCTTTGAAGAGGGAAAAGTTGAAGCTGAGCTCTGGAAGATTAAAAGGAGCCAGTCCATGGGGGTAAATGGCAAAAGACTGTTTCAGACAGAGGGGAAAGCATTTGCAGATACCCTAAATCAATAAAGAGCTGGGCATATTATAGAGCTAAAGGAAAGATGTTGTAGGTGTGGTGGGACCATAGATTAGGATGGAAAGGTAAGCTGTGGCCCAACCTGCGGAATCTAATAGGCCATGGTAAAGAATTTGATCTTAATGTCAGGGCACAAAGAAGGCATTGAGATCTGAAGGGTTTAGTTCATGACTTTGGTCATGGGTTTGGGTTCCATTGTGGAAAAAGGATTGGAAAAGGGCAAGACCAACCAACACTAGAACCAGTAAGCCGTCTGTTGCAGTAGTCTTGCAAGTGAGATGTAGTATTGTTAAGACATTTCACAACTTCAGCTGCTGTTCAGGATTTGCTGAGGGGCTAATCACCTCCAGGACTCATTAATCAGGAGTCAACTGTGGAGTAGTCTCTTTCACCCACATTCGGCTTCTTTTGGAACTCACTTGTTTTGCACTGACATGTGCACCACACAATGACTGATTTCTGTACTCTGGTACCCATGTGCATTCCTAATTTGAAAACAATTCGGGGAACTTCAGGTGCCTTTGTATTATATTAGACAAACAAAAGTACTTAGGGATTATTTCTTGTATTCGTTTTATTTCCTAGATGTCTCAGCCAGATGTCCTCTTACTTGTTCAAGAATGTTTAAAGAACAGTGGTAAGGCCAAAGTACACATTTTGCTTTTAAATTTTTCTTTTGTCTGTAAGTTGGATATATCTTATTTTGAAAATGAAGTCTTTAAAAAGTTCATGAAAAATACCTACTATAAAAAAAAAAAAAACGGGGGACCAACAGTTAGCGTAATGCCTATGTCGCTGGACTCTCATGTAGTCGACCACGGTTCGAGTCCCGGGCCCGGTGGCTTAAACTCATGCCGGGCACGTGTGCGTGCGTACCCAAGATCCCGAGAGGAGAATGGAGGAGAAGGGATTGCGGCGTGGCCATCGCCTCTGAGGGGTGATTTCTCACTTTCTATCTCTCTGTCTGTCTGGCGAGTGCACGCGCCCTATAGCAAAAACCTCTCCAAAAAAAGAAAAAAAAAAGAGGATGGATTTTAAGGTTTTCTCTTTTTTTGCACCAAAATAGCTGGTACTCTAATTCTGCTTTTCTATAGAATTTTCTAAGTCTTTTAGCAGGAAGTCATATTTTATTATTTATGAGTAATAACAAAAGCAAAAAAAACCAAATGCTCTCAAATTATTAACTATAATAGTTCATTGAAATAATAATTTTATAAGTAAATCTTTCAGCTTAATGAAAACATCACTATTTGTAACAATTAAACGAGCCCTAGACTATGACTAAGAAATGCAAAATATATAAAATTTATTATTGAGGGTAAAACTAAAGGATAATCAGCTTAATTCAGTGTAATAAGTTTCATTTTCTGTATAGTGAAATTAATCATAAAATCAGTATTTTACAAACAGTAGATAGGGTTCCCACCCTGACTCATGCATCCTCAGCTACATGTTCCCATGCAGGTGTATCAGTTGTCTAGTGTAATGTCCACTCTAGGGCTCTGTGACTTTTTGTACTTTACATAGACCTCATCAGACTGCCTCATGCCTTGAATTAGTCCTTACATTTTCATCCTTTTTGTTTTGGTTGACGAAAAGATTTAAACATTCATTTTATCTTCAATCAGTACCTATTTTGACACTGAACATTTTACTAGCTTTTGCAGCAATTTTATTTTTAAATGTTCTATTCATATTTCTAATTACATTACTCACATAATACTTAAATGTTCTCTTCCAATGATGTGGTCATTTCTAGTGAGGCATTAGCTTTGCAAAATAAAAATTTTAATGGGCTTACTTGACTCTTGGGTACATATTTTTTCCTTTCAAGTTATTTCAGAACTTTATTTAGTAGTGGTCTTTCAGAAGGTTGAATAGAGTAAGTCACAGTTGGTCCTTTTTCTAGTTCTGTTTTTAAAAATTGCTTTAATTAACATACTAAATATTTTTCTTCTTTCCTCAGACTCTTTCATTGATGTCGATGCTGATTTCCATGCTAGGGTGCCAGTAGTGGTATGCAGAGACAAGCAAAGGTCTCGGTTTCTTTACGCTATTTATTTATTATGTATGAACTTGCCAAATGTACATGTAACTTTACAAAACCTTAATGTCCAATTACTAGTATCAGTAAACTTCTTATATGAACATTACACATGCTTTGTCCTAGCGTTTTCCCTATACTTTTGGCATTTGATGCAAGAGAGGAAATTTTTTTTACTTTAAAAAGAATGAAATTCATGAAAGGAAAAATAGAGGAGGTGGCATTTTGACCCATTTTAACTAGCGTCAAAAATGTTTTAAAATTGTTTATTTTTTGGATAAGCAGCCTTATCAAATAGTTACTTGTTCTGATGGCCTTTGTTTGCCATCCACGTTAGCAGTGTTTGTGGTAGTATTGAGTAACAGAGTGACTTTGCCGGGGTGACTTCCTCCATCAGTGCTATAAATGGATGGTTTGCGGGCTGTACCGATTCTTCATTAGGCAAATGCTTGCAGCCTGTACAAAGATGAATTGTGCTCCCATTCAAAACATTTTTCTTATTTGCGCCTCCCCCCAAATAGTTTTAATATATGAAAATACAAAGTTCTGATTTCAAAAAACAAAGTTTACTCAGAAAATGACTATTGTATCTTTTTTCTTTTTCAAACTGACTTCTTAAACAACTCAGGAAGACTTAGGGAGTTTTTAACCTAAGCTTTTTTATTTCTAAGGTATTTGTTATCAATGTAAATTAGTGTTGGTGTAAGATACCTGACACCTGTGTAACACTTTCTCTTTCCCCTCTTTTCCTTCCTACCCTCATCCCACACCTCCACCAGTGGTCTCCTCTGTAAAGTGAGTGCAGGAAATGAAAATGCTTATCTGACAACAAAGCATTTAACTGCCCTCGGAAACCTAGAGCCAAAGCTGGTTCCTTTGGTGATTGCATTTAGGTACTGGGCAAAGGTAGGTTTGAGTTCTTTAAGTACATGAATGTATTTTGTCTATGCATCTTTTGATTTTTACTCAGTTAATTTAATCTTAAACATTTAGGTGCTTATTTCTAGACATCAAAAGAAAAGACATCTGAGTATTAGAATAGAAATTTAACCTATACAAAAGAAAAATTCAACGTTTCTGTTTCACTATAATATTGCTGAAAGATCAAAATGATTTATAATGCTTATTAAAAATCAGATTTGTGGGCCAAATCCCAGGAGATGTGGCCCTAGAATTTGCGTTTTAAGTAGTTTCCCTGGGTGATTCTTAGGCATTGGAAAGTTTGAGATAAAGCTTCTCTTATCATTTCCAGTAATGAATACAGAGACTTCAAAAAATGAAAGACACTCTTCTTATTTACATTTCCATAATATGTTAAGCATAGTTTTAAAATATAGTTATGTTTTAATTAAGTTTAGTTTCTGGGATTATTAGAGGGCCAGCACGTGGCATGGTGTGATGGCAGCCGGATTCCACATGCTGACTGTGCAGTTCAAATTTCGGATCCAGCAGCTTGAGAAACACGCTGGGCACATGTGCATGGGTGCCCAAAACCCCAAGAGGAGAAGGGATTGAGGCATGGCCACCCACTCGGGGGGGTGCTTTCTCATTTTCCCTATCGCTTTCTTTCTGACGAGCGCACACATCCTATAGAAAAAAGAAAAGAAATAAAATTATTAAAGAGTATCCTAATTCTCTGATAAGCATTAGAGCATCAGACATTACCAAAATGTAAGGTTACATTATGATCATGAAATTGAGATTCTTCGTGTGTGCTTTATGGGAAAAGCTCAAGTTTTACTGACTAAGATGTTGCAGTAACAATAGATAGCCTTGTGTCTTGGCTCCAAGATGAACGGAGGTCTTAACTGGGTATGTTGATAATTACGATAGGCTTTTAAAACCATCTCCTTCTATATCATTAAGTAGGCTCTGGGTTTTTTGTAATTTCCATTGTGCTGATAAATTTGCCCACATTCCTTCCCCAAATTGCCTTTGTGGTTAAGCCATGCACTTGTGAGGCTGCAGTTTAGGATGAGAAGACCATTGGACTGAGCCAGTGGCTTGCATGTGAAACCATCACTTTTACTTCGTTAACATGTATTTATTGTAGATGTCAAAAAAATGAAACAGCAAATAATATTTTAGGGACCTCCATGAGTAAGCATAGTTAACAGGAATAAATATTTGAAATTGAAATTTTCACCCAAAACCACAATATGTGGTTGCTGCAAAAATAAGAGGAAGTTGTATGTCTTGTCACTGCTGTTTTATGCTGAGCAAGCCGTGTAAGTTATGACACACACAGGGATGAAGTTACGGGCTTAGCCAAGTAACATAAATAAATTGATGTAAGCAGGTAAGGTATGACACACACAGGGATGGAGTTATGGGCTTAGCCAGGTAACATAAGTAAGTTGATGTAAACAGCATGCTTATCCCCTCTTCTCTCATTTGTAGCTTTGCAGTATAGATCGTCCAGAAGAAGGAGGCCTGCCACCTTACGTGTTTGCCCTGATGGCCATTTTCTTTCTCCAGCAGAGGAAAGAGCCCCTTCTGCCTGTGTATCTAGGATCATGGGTACAGATTTTTTTTTTTTGCTTATATATCTGACACTGATTTTATTACAGGTCCATAATTAGATTTTGCATAATTTTAAAATCCAGAAACCTAGCCAGAATCTATTTATTCTACTAGTGTGAATATTCATACCTTTCACTGCTGAAATATTATGTGTTAGGTTACATACTGCTGTCCTACACCCTGCTAGGGATTTTATTACCTTTCTAGACTGTAACACTTCTTCATTTTTTAAATGCATATGGTCCTGGGGGTTTTAAACAAGAGCCTGTGAATCTGAATTAAATTTATTATTAGAGGCATTCTTTCTTTGAATACAGTTTTCTAATTTGATTGATACTTGAATTTATTTATCACCTCCAGGCTAACTACAAGAAGCATTTTGTTCACTGTAACTTGCTTTTCATTTTTAGTCTTTTATTTCTCTCTATAACCTGTACAATAACAGAAAATATAAGCGTTGAAGTTACTCCCTGTACCACAAGGTCCAGAGCTTAGTAGACATCTCTTGAATAATGTCTTGGTATTATGAGAGAATTTCAAAAAGTTCCTAGAAAAATCGGGGACCAGCAGTTAGCCTAATGGCTATGTCACTGGGCTCCCACGTAGTCGACCGCGGTTCGCGTCCGGGACCCGGTGGCTTAAAACTCACACCAGGTGCGTGTGCATGCGTGCCCAAGATCCTGAAAGGAGAATGGAGGAGAAGGGATTGCAGCGTGGCCATCCCCCCTGGGGGGTGATTTCTCACTTTCTGTCTCTCTGTCTCTCTCTGTCTGTCTGGAGAGTGCATCCATCCTATAACAAAAACCTCTCCAAAAAAAAAAAGTTCCTAGAAAAATAAAATTACAGATTTATTTTGGCACAAAAATATTTGAAATTCATGCATGGATTTTGCATAATATACATTTTCCATGAACTCTTTGAAGACTGCTGTTTAAGGTGAATCAGACTGGGGGCCAGCAAGTGGCATGTTATTTAAGACACTGGATTTCCACATGACCAACCATGTTTTGAGTCTCAGGGCTGGTTTCTTGCTTCCTCACTTTCCCTCTTTCTTTCTCTCTCTCTCTGTATGTCTCTGGCCAAATTTTAAAATAATAACAAATAAAATTTAAATAATTCCTAGAAGAAGAAAAGATGAATTAGACTTCAGAGATTTGACCATTCCTTCTTTATGGATCAATTAATGTTGATTTGTTCAAATAGTAAGATTTAAGTCATCTGAGAGAGTCCAGTCATTTTATTCTCATTCTCATGAGATACTTTATTTTCAATTTCTAGCTGTTACCTGATTTACTATTATGTATACACTTATTTTGAGTATATATCAAACAAGTATGATTATAGGGGATTTTTTTCTTTACACTTAATAGACTGAGAATTAAGTGATGACTTTTATCTGGTAGGCCCGGAGAATATAAAGTGAAGTGGAATAAGTCATTTATATGCTGTATCCTGGCATAAGGGATTACAGTATATTTGGCATCTTCGTTGCCTAAAATACCTCTTTTTCTGCTTTTGGTACTGAAATTAAAAAATTCAGAGCCATGAGAGGATATCTCTACCAGACTATTTTCCCGGTAGGAAAAAGATAAAGTCAACCCTTAGTTGATAAACTGAGTTGGTAATCCCTTAGTTGACCCAAAAAAAGCCTTTTCTACCAGACCCAAGTAGAAATCTGTAAGTCTTTGAAGTTTTTGTCTTGATTCAAGAGACAATTTAGGATGGAACCAAACCAGTTGGACTCCTGTACCTGAAAGACCTTGGGGCAGATTGGGTATATTGTCTGTCTCACCACCATCCTGCTGAGAGATCTGCTTTTTCATGTGACCTGATCTTCTCTAAGTAGAAGATCTTTGTCATTGACGTGAGGGCCCAGGGAAAAAGGATTCTCGTGGGAGTCTCCTCAGGATGTGCTTACCAGTAGTATGAATACACTTTCCTGTGGTCACTGTATTTTATTATTTCCTCAACAGTGATGCTGGTTCACTGAAGGAGGCTTTACTTATTCAGAGTTTAATGATAAAAACAGGCATGTGGTGATCAAGCTGTGGATTGAATAAGGCAGACTCTGGCCAGCGAGACAGTATAGTGATTAAGGTAGCCAGATCTCACATGGCTAATAACGCAGTTCAAGTCCTGGCTCTGGTCACTTGAAAAAAACACCAGGTGCTTATGTGTATCTGCCCAGAATCCCAATAGGATGGAAAAACGGAGGAGAAGAGATTGCAGTGTAACTCACCCTCACCCTATTCGAGGGTGCTTTCTCCCTCTTGCTGCTGTCTCTCTGGTAAGCACACTCCCTCTCTGGCAAAATTTTGTATGTTATTCCTCATTTATGCCAGATATTTTACATACATTATTTCTGCAGAAAATCCATTGAGGTCCTCATAATTGTATGTATAAAGTTATTCAAACTGTTAATTCCTTTAAAATCTGTAAAGCCCTGGGTATAGAACCATTGTATTAGATGCTGGTGGGAATACAAAAATGATAGACTAAACTCTCTATTGAGAGATTTAGAGTGTCTCTGTGCTTCGCTCTGCTTTCTAGAACTCTTTAGCCACCTGTCCCAATTTATTCAGATTTCTTTCATGTTGGAGACAATTCTTTCTAACCTTTTACTCCCATTCAGAATTCCCATTTTAGTATCAATTTTGACATGATTAAAGTTAATAGTTACACAAGTGATGAATAGGTTTAACCCTGTCTTCTCAGCGTCTTTTACCATACTACTTTTATTTGTTTCTTAGCAGATGTTATTTGGAATCTGCCTTATTTTGCATTACATAAACCTAATTGTTAGCAAACGGTTATGTACACTTTAGTAATACCACATAATATTAGTTAAGACCAGAAGGCAAGAGAAAATGTAGTAGTTCCTTTTCCCTAGGTGAATTGGACCCTCGTAAAACCCATAATGGTTAGCCTCTGATAAAAGCCTGCCTCCCAGAGCATAGAATGCACTAATAAGCCTATTTCAAAATAACTATTTTTCTTTCACTCAGTCACAAGCATTGGGGGATTCTTCTCTGTTAGCCTTCAGATCCTGGTAGGGTTCCTAGAGAAAAAATTCACAAAAGTTTTGGAGAGGAGGTTCCTAAGAACTCTGTCAAACTCTTGTCAAAAATGATGCCAGCTGTACACAAACTCTTAGAAAACAAGATAGTAGAGATCATAAGCCAGAATTATCCTGATCCCCAAACCAGACAAAAGTCATAAAAGAAATGAAAACTACATACCAATATTCCTCTTGGGCATGGATACCAAAAACACTTATCAAAATATTGGCAAATCAGCTTAGAAGTATGCAGAAAAGATATTAATAGACAAAGTTGATTTAGCTCTGAAAAATCAATAGAATTCACTGTATAAATAGAATACAGGAGAATAGCCATACGATCATCGATAGATGCAGGGGAAAAAGACACTTGACAAAATTCAGCACTCATTTATAGCAAAACTCTGTGAACTAGGAATAGAAGGGACCTTCCTTAATCAGAAAATAGCCATCTATGAAAATATCTGTAGCTAAAATCGTACTTATGGGGGGACTACTGGATGTTTTTCCTGTACCATTGAGAATCCTCAAAATAGTAGAAAACAGCTTCTAGAACTAATACAATTATTAAGATTATAGGCTACAGAATATATAAAAATCAATTGTACTTTTTATATACTAGCAGCAATTTGAAAATGAAGTTTAAAAGAATTCCACTAACAGTATTACCAGAAAGTATACACTACTTAACAAATTTAACAAAAGATGAGTAAGACTTCTAAACTGGAAGTTGCAGAACATTGCTGAGGAAACAAAATAAGATGTAAATAAATATTGAGTTATATTAAGTCTCTGAATCAGAGGAGTCAATATTACCATATGTTGTGGTCATTTGGTTTTTGACAAAGATGCATGAGCAATTCATTGGGGAAAAGGGAAGTCTTTTCAATAAATCAGGCTGAAAAAATTGAATACCCATAAGGGAAAACTGAACATTCAAATGTACCTCACAGCATACCCAAAAAGCAACTCAAAATGAATCAAAGACCTAAAGGTAAAAAGTAAAACTCCCAAAAGACAATGTAGGAGAAAATCTTTGCAACCAGGATTTCTTTTTTTTTGAGAGGTTTTCGCTATAGGGCGCATGCACTCGCCAGACAGACAGAGAGAGACATAGAGACAGAAAGCGAGAAATCATCCCCCAGGGGGGATGGTCACGCTGCAATCCCTTCTCCTCCATTCTCCTCTCGGGATCTTGGGCACGCACGCACACGCACCCGGCGTGAGATTTAAGCCACCGGGTCCGAGACGCGAACCGCGGTCGACTACGTGGGAGTCCAGCGACATAGCCATTACGCTAACTGCTGGTTCCCGCAACCAGGATTTCTTAGAGCACTAAAAGCATAAACCATATCCATGAAGGTATGCATTGATTAACTTTAAAACTTGAGCTTTTCTAAAAATAACTGCTAATTAAAAAAAGAAGCAAGCCACTAGATGAAAGAAGAAATTGAATATGTATATCTAACAAAGAAACAGTCACCACACTATTATTTCCTAGTTTCCCTTAAAAGAGCTTTTCTTGAGGTAGCAGGTGGTGTGGTGGTTAAGGGCTCTGGACTCCACATGGCTGACTGCAGTTTGAGTCCTGGACCTGGCAGCTTGCTATTTTTCTTTTCTCTCTCTATCTCTCTCTCTCTCTCTTTCCCCTCTCTCTTTCTCTCTCTCTCTCTCGTTCACTCACTCACTCTGTCCCTCTCTGGTCAAAGTTAAATAATAAAGTTAAATAAAATAATTCTTGGGAAAAAAAAAGAAAGAGCAGTTCTTGTAGTCAGTCAGGTCTTTACTGAACATTTGCCTTGGCCAGACACTGTTCTGGGAATTAGAGTTAGTGTGGTGATAAAATCTTTGTCCTCAAACTTACATGTCCAGTGAGATAAAACAGATTGATACATACATATCAAGTGGTGGTAATTTCTCTGCAGTAAAGTAAACCCCGGTAAGAAGGACAGAGAGTGAAAGGTGGGGAGCTTTATAGGAAAGATATTTGAGCATAACCCAGATAATGTGAGGGAGAGTAGGCTGTGTGATTGTTAGGGGAAGCGTGTTCCAAGCAGAGGGAGTAGCAGATGTCAGCTGAGAGCCAGGGTAAAGATGGGTCCGAGAGGGACCAGCAGTTAGCATAATGGCTATGTTGCTGGACTCCCATCCCGGACCCAGTGGCTTAAACTCACGCCGGGCACGTGTGTGTGCGTGCCCAAGGTCCCGAGAGGAGAATGGAGGAGAAGGGATTGCGGCATGGCCATCCCTCCTGGGGGGTGATTTCTCGCTTTCTGTCCCTCTGTCTCTCTCTGTCTCTCCGGTGAGCACACGCTCCCTATAGCAAAAACCTCTCCAAGAAAAGAAAAAAAGGTGGGTCCAAGGAGGAGCATACTCTCTTGTCTCTCCCTTCCTGACAGGAGAAAGGAGGAAGTCAACTTTAAAAAAAAAAAAAAAAAAAGAATTGGCATGTACTTAATTCTTATTTCCCCCACCCCTTTTTTCCCTTCTTGAACAATTGAAGTTTTAGAACAGAAGACCAGATGACTGGGCCTTTCTTAGGTAGGCCCTGGAAAGGCCTGGATTGCATCTTGAATGGAAAAGGAATCATCTGAGCACGCGGTGTTTAGGACTGTCTCCACTGAACCAGGGGAGCAGTCTGTCATGTGTCAAAATCCATTCGGGAAGGTGATGCCATTCCCACACTCCAGCGTACCTCCTGGCCTGTTCACTCACTATGAAATGCTGCAATAAATCTCATGATACATTAAAGAAACCTGCTCAGCCCTGTTCACTTCTCAGATTGTTTGAACCTAGACCATTTTCTTTAGTGTTAGCATTGAGAACAAATAAAATGTACCATTAGAACATCTAATTTAATTGGGATTAGTAATATTTCAGATTATCTCCTAACAGGGATCTTATTTTTGTAATTGTATCTCTTATCAGTATCTATAGTAGTAATTTCTTACTTTTTTTAAACTTTTTTTTTTTTTGAGAGAGATTTTTGCTATAGGGCACGTGTGTTTGCCAGAAACACAGAGAGACAGAAAGTGAGAAATCACCCCCCAGGGGGATGGCCACGCCACAATCCTTTCTCCTCCATTTTCCTCTCGGGATCTTGGGCACATATGTACATATGTCCGGCTTGAGTTTAAGCCACCGGGTCCGGGACGCAAACCACAGTCGACTACATGGTAGTCCAGCGACGTAGCCACTACACCAACTGCTGATTCCTTTTTTGAACATTTTTTATGTGCTGTATATTCATAAACTGATACTGCCTGTTATCTGAATGTCTTTCTGTTAATTATTTAATATCACAGCTATTCCATGAAGGCAATCCTAGTGTTATTCCTTTTATAAGAACCTGACACCTGTACCCAAGGTCACATAGCTAGTACTAGAGGGAGCCAAGATTTGGGCCCAGGCACTTTTACTTCTAAACCCACGACCTCGCCCACTAGGCCATGTGGCCTTCTCTCATAATATTTACTAAAGGGGCCAGCAGGTGGCGTGATGGCTAAGGTGCTGGGCTCCCACATGACCTACTGCGGTTCAAATTCCAGACCTGACAGCTTGAAAATCATGCCAGTTGTATGTACACATGTAACCAAAATCCCAAGAGAAGAATGGAGGAGAAGGGATTGCAGCATGGCCAAGTCCCCCCCCATGGAGTGATTTCTCACTTTCCATCTCACTCCTCACTGGCGAGCACACATGACCTATGGCAAAAGTCTTCTTAAAAAATTTTAACTTTCAAAAATATTTTAAAGTTGACAGATATCTCAGCAATATTCTGTCCAGCTTGGTCTTTTCAATGAACAGTGAGGATGTGTTCATTTCTCATTCCTCCTAGGAGTAATCATTTTTGTATTACTGTTATTTTTTAAATAATTTTTAAATTATTTTGTCTTATAAGAGTACTTGTCTAAATTTTTTCTAGGTGGAAGGATTCTCATTAAACAAACTAGGGAATTTCAGCCTTAAAGACATTGAGAAAGACGTCGTGGTCTGGGAATACACCGATAACGCTGCAGGGGATGCAGATGCAGTGAAAGAAGAGACACCAAAGGACATGCCGGTTAAAAGGGGACAGGTCCGTTTTCCCTCTTTCTAATGCTGCCATCTGTTTTTATTTCAGTTTTCAGTTGTGGAGTTTATGAGTTAACCAGTCTTCCTCTCCTCTTTTTTTTTTTTTTTTTTTTTTTTACTATCTTAACTATTTCATGTCTGTTTTACTTCCTGGTCTGTTCAAGTCCCTTGACTAGACAAGTAGTAAGAAAACATAAATAAAAAATTTAGATAACTAAATCCACAGTTATTTATATGGTTTCTTTTGTGTGCAGGGTCCTTTGAGAGATGTGGAGAATTCAGAAGTAAAGCCTTATCTCTTTTCAGAGACCTTAGATCTTAGATGGTATTAGGTTTAAATATATGGAAAGTTAACTAACTTCAGACTACTGAAATAACAGTGACTGAGTATATGATTTAAAGTGTTGATCTCACACTGTTAGAGAAGTGCAGGGGAATTTATGCACAGAGATAGGATTGCCATGAGAATTTTTTTTTTGATCTGTGCAAAAATAAATAAAATAAATTAAAAATCTGTGCAATGTAATTATACATACTACAGTAAGAATAGGGTTCTGTCCCAAATTGGTGGGTGGTCCCTGGCCCCATGGTCTTCCCATAACCTTTCAGGATAAAATCACAGTGACGTCTACAAAATAACTGCTAAGATCAGGAGTCTGATCCCAGCTCTGTACAAAAGTCCTGTCATTCTTCTCATCTGTGGTTTACTCATACCTGAAATAAGGAGATAGTAGTGAATCATAGATTCTGCAGTTGTGTTTCCTAGAGTCCTTGAGCACTGAGGGGAGGAGGCAGGTGGTTTAAGCCTACCCTGCTGTCACCAGAACCGTACCACTTTTGCCTCTTTTCTCCTCGGGGATCAAGTAGTGGATAAAAGCAAGGCTGTGGACTCAGAATATGTGAGCTCATGTCCCAGCTTTCTCCTTCCTGGCTGTGTTTCCTTGGGCAAGGTACTTAGTCTTTCTGTGGCCAGTTTCTTCCCTACAAACGGGGATAATTACTGGTACCCTCCCATAGGGTCACTGACTTATAGAATGCTTAACTCAGTGCCAAGCATGTGATAAGCACTCAGTAAATATCATCTGCTATTTATTTAAAATAAGTGTTCTCTACTTAACAAGAAGTTCAAATACCAGTAGTCTAGACACTTCAAAGTTCTCTTAAATTCCATGTTATGGTATTATCAAGTCATTTCAGTGAGATGCTTAAAAATCCTTTGTAATGCTGACAAAGGTTCTGGATAAACAGGTAAAAGCCTAATAAGGCTTTTAGTTACTTGGGGAGGTTGGGTTGTGTCCTCATTTATAGTGTTTGGGACCTAGACAGCTTCCATTTCAAACAGTTCTGCCTTGTAAATCCACCAGAGGACAACATCTTACTTGACAGAACCTCTGTGGTTGAGATTTAATGATTAATAAAATACCACACCACTGGTTCTGAAGCTTGATACACATAATCAAGTGTGGTCAGAGACTCATTTGTATACATTAGAGGAAAAAAAGGAAAACAACATGAATTACAGGAATAACGTGGAAAAAAGCTGTTGCTGTTAGTCCACTTATTCCTTTATTTTTGCAGCGTTATGCTCTCTTGAGAGATTAATCATGCTGCCACTTACGAAACTGAGTGAGCTCTAGATACTGAGGAAGTCGCACGTGGTATAAAAGAGCACTGCGCTGGGGCCTAGAGACATTCTGGCTCTGACGAGCAGTGTGACCTTCTGACAAACCGTGGACATCTGTGGGGCTTCAGTTCCTTTTCTTGTAATTTATGAAAGTTAAACTAGATTACCTCTTTAGAGCATCTTACAGATGTGACATTATATTGCAGTGATATATGGATTTCTTGTACTGAAAAAGACTATACCTAAGTGAAAGAATACAGAGAACAACCAAGTCTGCCAGATGCTTTCCCTTGTATCTCGTTTAATCCTCATAACTATCCTGTGTTATAGGTGGTTTCATCCCTACTCTGCAGATAATGGTAGCGACCATTTTTTGAACACTGTGTGCCAGGCACTGTGCTAAGCACTTACAGACACTATCTCACTCAGTCCTCCCAACAACCCTATGAGGTGGGTACTGTTATCCCCATTTTTCAGATGAGGAAACCACGGCTTAGACAGATTTTAGACCTTGACCAAGATCCTCCACAGCTAGCACATGGCAGAGTTTGGATTTCAAATCTAAACTGGTCTTGATTCCAAAGCGAGCTCTTAGCCACTGTGCTGTACTGCCAATCTGAGAATAAAGATGCTAAATCATAAGGTAATTAAGAGCTGCAAAGTAGCAGAATCACTATTCGGATCCATTTTTTTCCATCTTAAGTATTACATACTTTCTGATAAATTACCTCACAATATGCTCCAACTTGTCAAAAGTTTATGGACTAAAAAACTAGTATCCATTTCAATTATCAAGAGTTACTTGACTTTAAAACTATGGCCACTGGCAGATTCAGCATGCTTATGTAGCTTTTCAAGGCAGTGAAAGGAGTGTTCTTCCTTTTCCTCTATGCCTGTATCTACTGTCCATTTCGGTGTGTCTGTAACTGTAGAGGTGCCCCCTGGCAGCATAACAGGAAGAGCTCAGTGCAGAGAGTATTAGCCCATGCACAGTCCTCTCCACCTGTTCCTATGATTTCAAAATCAGGAGTGCTGTCTGGTAACATGAAACTGGCCTTGCATATTCCTGTGACAATGATTAGATTTTAAGGTTTTCCAAATTTTTTAATTAGATTCTTGAGTGAACTCTTAATTTTCCAGATTCTGTTGACATCTGAAATAATCTATATGTTTCTCTTTGCTATTAATAGGTGCCATTAATATTTGACATAAAACACCAGCCTTCAGTACCAGTTGGGCAACTCTGGGTGGAACTGCTGCGATTCTATGCTTTAGAATTTAATTTGGCTGATTTAGTGATAAGTATCCGTGTCAAAGAGTCGATATCACGGGAATCAAAGGATTGGCCCAAAAAGCGCATCGCCATTGAAGGTATCTCAAAATGTTTATCCTTCATTCCTTTTTTTTTTTTTTTTTTGAGGTGCCAGTCTAATTGCATGCTTTTTATTTCAGTCTCTTTTCAGTTCCTACATGTATGGTAGGCCTGACCTCAAAAGTGAGATAGTTAGAATCTTGCATGTTACAATGGGTCATTCTGAGTCTAGGCAGTTTACTCTGTTGTTGAAGTCTGAGCAAGTAGAATAATGGCTGGCGAGGTCCTTGCTTTCTTGGTAAATTGCTTAACAGCTTAAACACTTATAAGTTTTTCCTTGTGATGTGCGAATCCCCCTTTTCTCTTTACTATACTTACTTCCAGAGTTTTTAATTCAGTCCTTTCTTGAACTATTAATGTTATTTAGTTTTGCAAAGGTGAGGAAAATACTTTTTCTAGTGAAAAAGATAACACTCTTAATAGGATTCAATTCAAGTAGAAGGAACAGATAGTTATTTTCTAAATATCTGCAGTAACATTTAGAATTTACTTATTGAAATACCTTTTAGTGAAGGCCCATTGAACTGAAACCACTGTATCAAATACACTGATGTGCCCTGTTGGTGTCCTTAAATGGACTCGTTCTTCTCGGTTTTACAAAGTCAGGAGGTTGAAACCTCTCTAGAAATCTTAATTCTCCTCCTTTAAATAACTTAAAGAACCTCCTAAATGGAATTCTCTTATTTTTGCTTGATTTTTTTCAAGCTTTGTGTTGCATAAGAGGGTTTTTTTTTTGCATTTTGCATAAATTCTGTGTGCAGTCGTGGGGATCTCACATTTTCAAACCCTCCCCTGCAGTTTCTCTGGCTCAGCTCTTCTGGCCAATTGCCTAACCTGCTGGAGTTCTAGGGGAGGAGAAAAGATTGAGAGAAGTGGTGTCTCCTCCTGGTGCCTCCCTCTCGCCCCTGAAATTCAGGCCAGCCAATTCAGTGATGGGGCTTCCCAGGGCAGAAGAGTGGAGGTAAGCTCGACACACCGCAGGGCCTGGCTGAGTGGGGAGGCAGCACACTCAGCAAAAAGCCCTTCAGGAAGACCTTACTTCCTGAGGGTGCCAGAGCCACACTGAGGACATGTTTTCTACCCGTGCAGTCACAGAGCACTATAGGGAAGGGGTCCTGGTTCTGAACAGTATGGGTTCTCTTCCTAGAGCAAATATTGCAGAAAACTTTGCTTTTTGTTCTTATACTGTATCTTATTTCCTGCCCCCTAGTTGTTTTTTTTTAAGTACATAAGCTACATGATAAATTGACTATTGTTTGTTTGTTGTTTTTTTCTTAATCTATAGTAGACTGAATTTTTTTTTAAACATGAAATAGAAATGTATAATTTGGTGGAATTTTTTGTTGTTGTTGCAGATCCCTACTCTGTTAAAAGAAATGTGGCAAGGACACTAAATAATCAACCTGTGTTTGAATATATACTTCATTGTTTAAGGACAACATATAAATATTTTGCTCTTCCACACAAAGTTACAAAATCCAGCCTCCTGAAGCCTCCAAGTACAGTTCCATGTATTTCAGAACATTCTAAAGAAGTAGTAAATCATAATCCTGGTGTCCAAGTAAAAGATGGTAAACTCCAAAACTCAGTTTTGGCTGCAGGTCCTGGTGCTGCCAGTTCAGCAGCAGATGCCTGCAAAGCACAGCTGTTTACTCTGAAAGAGACTACTGAAAGCCTGTCAGTGGAGGAAACTGGAAATGTGCACAGGAGCATCCACCTGGAAAACTCAGACTGTATCCAGACAGAAGCCAATTATGATGTTTCTGAGGTTGTTGAAGTGCACCATCAGGAATCAGAAAGTAAAAACAAGGAAGAGGAAGTTAGAAAGGAGGACAGACATCCATGCATTGCTAATGATCAAAGTTTAAGCACTGGCAAACATGGAGATCTGGTCATCTCTGAGAACACACACAATAATGAGACAGACAGCACTTTGGATTTAGAAGGCCTCCAGAATCCTACAGCTAAAGAACATGATGGATTTTCTACTTTAGATGACAAGACTGATGTTGATGAAGATGGTATAGAAGGTATTGACGAGGTAGAAGACTCTATAGACCACTTTGTCCCTTCCATACAGGGCCAGACATCAGAAATCATTCACTCTGATGAAGAGGAGGAGGAGGAAGAGGAAGAGGAGGAAGAAGAAGAAGAAGAAGGAGAACGCAGGCACACAGTTAATCAAGGGGAAGATGAGAATGGCATTGCTAATGAAGATGAGTTAGACAACACCTACACGAGGTCAGGGGATGAGGATGTCCTATCTGAAGAGGATGATGAATTTGGTGAGCCTACTAAGTATGAAGACTTGAAAGAATGTGGAAAACAGGTAGATGGAGCTCTACTAATGGAACTTAATAAAATAAGTCTCAAAGGAGAAAATGTATGTGAGGAAAATTCATCCATGGAGCAAGCTGATTTCTTCTATGAATTTAATAAACTAATCTTCACCAAAGGCAAGGTAATCAGTGTCACTACTAGACATAGAACTAGAAGATGTTAAATAATATTTTTTAATTGCCAGAGGGCATGTATGCTTGCCAGAAGGGGGGGAGGGGACATACCACCTGATGGGGTGTAATCATACTGCAATCCCTTCTCCATTCCTCTGTTCCATCAGGATTCTGAGTACACACGCATATGCACTCAGCATGCTTTTCAGGCTGCCTGAGGCCAGGATTCAAACTGTAGGCGGGCTTGTGGGATCTTGATCCCTTACCCATTAGGCTGAAGAGACAGCCCTAAGTAATTTTAACGCATGCAATTTCCATTTTTATATCCTAGAATAGTAGGACTCTTCCAGTTTCATTTGTGGCTAACAAATTGGTCTTCCATTCTAATATGATCACGTGGTCCACTTTCATTCCTTATACTCATAGGAATTTGCATAGGAGGAAGGAAATGCTATTAGGAATGAAAATCACTACCTCATCCTCCTGAGACTGTCCTAACGGTGTCCCCATCTCAAGTCATTTGGAATAACTATAATGCTATATTTTCATTCCTTTGGAAAGCAAAGAATAGACTGCTTTTAAGAAAATATTTCAGATCCCTTAATTGGGTGGTAAAGTTTTCCCACCTTAAGTCTGTTTTTGATCTGCCCTGTCACTGCAGTCTCCTACAGTGGTGTGCAGCTTATGCAAACGAGAGGGCCATCTAAAGAAAGACTGTCCTGAAGACTTCAAAAGGATCCCACTGGAACCATTGCCGCCCCTGACACCGAAGTTTTCAAATATTCTAGATCAAGTTTGCATCCAGTGTTACAGTAAGTTACGCTCATTTCTTTCCATTTGTCAGAATGCCTTGTCAGCATTTGCTTAAGAGTGGTCGGAATCACTGTCCTGTTCCCTCTCTGAGCACTTACGGGACCGAGACTATTCCACTTCCCGTTGTTCCCACGGTGTTCTATGTGATGCCCTTCCCGTTTTGGACACACAATACATGTAAAAGACAGGGAAAAAGGAGGGCCTTTCAAATAGCAGGTAGGAAGGATGAACGAGTTTAGAGATCCAGTGTACAGCAGAAGGACTGAAGTTCATAAAATTGTGTTACACATTTTTTGGAAGTAATTTTAGCTCCTTTTGTCACCAAAAAATTATCCCTATGAGATAATACACGTGTTAATCTTCACCGTGGTAACCATTTTACTATCTCACACGTGTCACAACCTCATGTGGTAAACTCAGGCATACACAATAAATGTATTTGAAAAAAAGATTAGAGCACGAGTGTTTTCAACTTATGTTCTTTGAAATATTTTTCTAGGTGCAGTTAATAATATTTCATGTCCAGAAATACTCAGGCCAAGTAGGTAATAACTGTACACTGCCCTCTCCCGTAGGGGCAGTAAATCTCCCTTAGAGACTTCCAAGGTACATTGGCATAATAAATGCACCTAAAAATGTTAGGTAAAGAAGCCTACTTAACTCTGTAATGCAGCATTTCCAAAATTGGAGGACAGAATAGTTTTTAAGTAACTCTAATGAATAGTCCACATAACGACCCTCTAAGGATTTGGGGAAGCCAGGGAAGCTTAATATTCTACAGAGAGAAAACATTTAAAGGAAAGGCATCCAAATGTTTAGAAGAGAGGAATTTGCTGCATCACATTGCTGCTACCTCTTGAGATGTCCATCTGTACCCAAAGAAACTGGTTCTTAACAGAATTTTGTTGTTGCTGTTTGTTTGTGATAGGTGCATGTGCACGCCAGAGAGAGAGAAAGTGAGAAGTCACCTCCCATGAGACGATGGCCAAGCCACAGTTCCCTGTCCCTCCCTGTCTCGGGATTTTGATCTTACATGTACATGCATCTGGCATGTTTTTCAAGGTGCCAAGTCCAGGACTTGAGCAATGCAGTCATTCATGGGGGATCCAGCTGCCTTCACCACCACACACCAGGTGGCCTCTTAGCCAGTAATTGTGAGCTATACAAGGAAACTAGGTGATTCTTAGGAGGGAAAAATACATGTGCAAATTCACAAACTTTTTGTGTTCCCACCTAAAGCTGACATTTCTAGACCACTGAGGTCTCTGTGAAATCCACATGCAGACCCCTCTGTTAAAATAAAGTTTTCTTTCAAGGACAGTTCTTGGTTATAGACTTGTTTTTTGTTTGTTTGTTTGTTTGTTTTAAATGATATTTTACATTGCTGGTGCTGTCCATTGAGAAGATTCATAATACATATATATATATATTTTTTTTAGCTTTCTCAAAAAATGTGAACCATCTTTCTTTCTCAATATGTCTGTTTGTTTTAAACAGAGGATTTCTCTCCAACTGTTTTAGAAGATCAGGCTCGTGAATATATCCGGCAAAACCTAGAAAGTTTCATAAGACAGGACTTCCCAGGTAAATCATTTTGTTTTTATCTTTAAGAAAGGTAGCATGACTTTCCTTCTGAATGAGTACATATATTTACAAGCATGAGAAGATTTTCAAACAGTTCACGGAAAGCACATAAGAAACTTACGGAAGAATTTCAAGATCTTTTTGCGCCAAAGTAACTCATACTTTAATTCCACTTTCCATTAACTTTTTGGAGTTCCCTTGTATATTAATTTTGAAAATAACAATCTTGCAGTGACAGTGGGGTCAGGGTTTCAGTTATTTTGCTGTGGGGCTAGGGTGGACTTTGGTCTGCCAAATCCTGGTTTGCCAACAGAAAATGTAGTAGCATTATAGGATTTGTCTTAGCAGATGTCACACGTGAGTTTTGAGGAAAAGTTCACGCTTCTGAACAGTACATTTATTTAGAAAGTAGTACCCTCATATTATTAAATATGTTGAGGTTATCTATATATTCCTTGAAATGTCCTTGTGTTTATGAATAAAGTTGCGCTTTGTAGTCTTTATTGCCGTATACAGGTATTTATTTAATTTTTTTTAAGTTCATGATAAAGGTTGTGCACACCATGTGAGATTCAGTGAGAGGAGGACAGATGGGGAGGAGCCCCCTCTGCAGGGTCTGGCCGTGCTGCTATCCCCTTCCTCTAGTTCTCCGGCCCATAAGATCTTGAGGACTCTACGAATGTGCCAGGAGTGTCATAGGCCAAATGGGCTTAGGATTCAAACCATGGTCTCTGTGGGATCTGGCTTCTATTAAGCAGCACATTGCCATTTCACCACAGAGCCAGCCTCTAGCTTGTATTTATTTAAAGTAAATTTTGGTAGGAAAAAATTTAGAATAAATGACTGGTTAATAAGAAAACATAATTGAGAGATTCATATAGGATAGTTAACAAGCAGATACTTCTGATTCATGAGAGGGCCATTTTGATCAAAAAATAAAATGTACTGGGGCTGGCAGGTGGCGTGGTGGTTGGGGGCACTGGACTCCCACATGGCCGAATGCAGTTCGAGTCCCAGACCTGGCAGCTTTTTCTCTCTCTCTCGCTGTCCCTTTCTACTCAAATTAAGCTAAATAAATAAGTTAATAAATAAATATAGTTAAATAAAGTAACTCTTCCAAAAAATAAAATGTACTCAGGTAACTAGTTATTACTTTTCATATATCCCTAACAGGAACTAAATTGAGCTTGTTTGGCTCCTCCAAAAATGGATTTGGGTTCAAACAAAGTGACCTTGACGTCTGTATGACAATTAATGGACATGAAACTGCTGAGGTACAGTGACCACATAAAACTTCCATTTGCTGTGGCAGTGTGATCTGACCGATCTTGACTGACAGTGCAGCTTGTATTTCCCGAATGTGTTAGTGCATACCATATGGAATGTGCCATTTGGTACAGTCTCTAGCCAAATGGGTTACGAGCCTAGAAGTGGATATGAGGAATAGAAAGACTCGTGCTTTTGTTGTGCAGTACAAGGGACTGGAAAGTGGCATCTGGGCATGCTCCAGAACCAAACCAGCTTCTCCCGTGTCCCACCTGCCTAGCTCTTTGGCTTGAACACACACACCGACCCAAGGTTATCTATAAATTTTTATTTTTTTAAACCAGGCAGGCATTGGGAAAATGATAAACGTGCTAACCTTGCAGTCCAGAGACTTGAATTTGAGACAAATGGTTGGTTTCATGAGCACCTAAAATGTGGTCTTTAGTAGATAAGCTGTAAAATAGAAATAAAAATTTCTGTTACTCTCGCATCAGGAGATGGTTGTACATATCAGCTTGGAGCTATAGGTCAGGAGTTGGCACACTGTAGCCCACGAGCTAAATTCGGCTCTGCCTGTCTTTGTATATACAGTTTATTAGAGCAGAGCCACACCCATTCACTGAATATGGTCTGTGGCCATTTGCACTCTATCACTGCAGTTAGTCTTTGTAACTGAGGCCACACAGCCTACAGAGCAGAGTGAGTTTGCAGTCCTTAATTTAGAAACTATGAAGTACTATATAAAGGTGTAAGGTCTGAGAAGTGCCGAGTCCAAATGCTTGAGTCCAGCTTGAGTCCAAATGCTCTATATCCAGAGGAAGGACACTGCTGTGCTCAAGACCTTCCTATGTCTTTTCTTAGTTTCAGGTCTGCGTGTTTTGAGGCTATATCTGATTTGGGAAAAAAGCCAAAAGTGATCTAGCTTGAATTTGGTAAATAAAGTAAATAAGCAAAATTAGGGTCTACGTATGGAAAAGCACTTGTGTTGAGTGGGTCAATCCAAGTGTTTTCAAGTATGAGTTGTGGATCTATATATTTGTTGTATGACTTTAAGTTTGTGCATTATAATTTTGGCTAGTACTATGAGAAAACCATATAAGCCTTATCACTCTCTACAGCAGTTCATTAACACTTAAAACTGTAGTGAAAGTTTACGCAGAACGATTAAGATGGAGCACAGAAACCCCCCTCTAATGTATTCTGGCATATAGTGTACTCCTGAGTGATGCGAGTAAGAGGAGAATGGTTCGGAAACTTCACTGGAAGCTGGGTCCAAAGGCTTCCTGACTAGCTTTGGCCTTTGCCACGTTTACAAAAGCATCTAGCACAAAGGATGTTGTATCCTTAGGATGTTTCCTTTGAAATACTTTGATACTTGACTAAAGAGGAAAGATATACGTGTACTGATTTGAAATTAATTTTCTCATTTCTGAAGGCAATAGAAATTATTTATAACCAGTTTAAGAACCAGTTTAAGTCTTTAATTTTGATTCAGTTGTCTATACCTTCTCTGTTGCAGGGTTTGGACTGTGTAAGAACTATTGAAGAATTGGCCAGAGTCCTCAGAAAACATTCAGGTACCTCTATAAACTTTTTCGAAAGATACTTTTGTGTTAATTAGTGTTTTGCACAGTTAGAATTTACTAATGCCACGGAAGCAGTATAGTGTATCTTTTATAGACTGTTTGAGATATTAATGTCTTCTGAAAAACCTTATTGGTTCAGCATGAAAGACTGAGGAGTGGATGGCAGTTTGTGCATATTGTTGCCTAGCTCAATTTTATTTCAAGACTAAATATGAACCCAACAAGCAAGAGCTGGGGAGGTCTTCGTACTTTATTGATACTGTGTAAATTAAAGGTGTTGCAGACAGTGGTGTAAAGTATAGCAGAAAGTACCCTGAACTGCTGTGCAGTCCTGCCCGACAGTCTGTGTGTGACCTGAACTAGTCACCTCATTTCGGCTGATCACCTTTTTTCTCATTGATAAGTCAAGAAAACTGATTTTAATTCAGAAATAGAATTTCTAGAGAAATTGAAATTCTGCACAGAGCTGAGATACTGTTAAATCTCGTTTTGCTTTGGGGGGAAACTCTGAATACTCTTAACAGTGAAATCATCTTTTAAAATGTGCCTCAGCAAGCATCTGCTAAGAGTTGAGAATGGTCGCGAATAAGATATGTTCTCTGTTTTCATAGACTTGAAATTCATGGGCTAGCTTTGAAACACTTATCTTTCTTTCAGGAGTGGACTTTAATTCATAGCGCGAGCATAGACACACATGAATACACATCATGAGCGTCCCTTTTCTTTGCTTTTTAAAATATATTTATTTCTAAAAGTTTAAATAAAGTAGATTTCTTGTTACTTAAATAACAGCAAAAAAAAATCAAAATATTGGTTTATCCCCAATGAAAGTTAACCTGAAGCATCAGCTTGTTTTGTTTTAATATGTACTAATACCATTTCTTTGATCTTCACTGAAGTAGGCATTACCCTCCCTTGGGAATTCCACTCCAAAGAGCTTGTCAGTTTTTGTTTTGTTTGTTCTGAAGGTTGTGAAAGAAACTACAGTATTAAATTGCCACTACCGTTAGTTACTTAGTACTTACCTAGATTTCAGCTTTTTAATTTGAAATCATTCAAATAGTTCAAATAGTTCAAACTTAAAGGAACAGGGCTAGCAGGTGGTGTGGTGGTTAAGACAGTGGGTCCCACACAGCCAACTGTGCTGTTCAAGTCCCGGACACGGGGGCTGGTGTAATACACCAGGCACATGTGCATGTGTGCCCAAGATCTCAAGGGGAGAATGAGGAGGGGACTGTGGCATGACCACCCTTTTGAGGGGTGATTTCCTTTTCTCTTTCTCTCCAATGAGTATACCTATCGTATAGCAAAAAAATAAATAAATAAATTGTATGAAAAATTCTATGCAGCCTTCATTGAGATCCACCCTTTGTTAACATTCTACCACATTTGAGTTATGGTTCCATGTCTCACTTGTTCCCAGTTTCTTTCTGTACAATTTTAAATTAAGCTATAGGCATCGTGTTCCTTTCCCCTCTATTTCCTAAACAAACCATGTTAAAAAACAGATCATTTTAGATTAGAAGTGATTAAACACACAGATAACAACAATGGACTGCATAGTCCAACACATGGTATGGGGGTTAAGGTGGCAGGATCTTGCATGGCCTACTGCATGGTTCGAGTCCCAGACCCGGTGGCTTGAAAAGCACACTGGTTATGTGTGCATACATGTCCAATATCCCAAGAATAGAACAGAGGAGGGATTTTGACGTGACCGTGCCCCCATGGGATGCTTTCTCAGTTTCTCTCCACTACACCCCCTGCCATGCCTGCCAGCGAGCACACACACCCTATAGCAAAACTGAAAAGAAGAATAATAATGATGGAGTGCACGTTGCACAGAACAAGGACTTTAACATAGCTAGGGAGCTATGTTTAAAACCTGCTCTCTTGGCCAGTCCCATAGCCTAGTGGTTAAGGGAGCTGGATTCCACATGGCCAGCTAGAGTTCACATCAAGCCCTGGCAGCTTGAAAAACATGCTGAACGTGTGTATACCCCAAATCCCGATAGGATGGAGAAATGGAGAAGGGATTTTGGCATAACCACATCCCACAGAACAAGCTTCCCCCCACCCCATTCTGTCTCTCTCTGGCAAGTACACGTGCCCTGTGGCAATTAAAAATATTAAAACAAAAAACATGGTATCTTTAAAAGTCATCTCCCCACATATTTTATTGTGTTCCTACTGTGTGCTTAGCACTATGATGGGAAGGGATGGTGGGAAAGTGAAAATATATATGTAAACCTTTCCTTTGATAGCTTACAGATCTTAAGAGGAGTAAAATAACTTCACAAGCTATGTAATAATATGTAAGACAGTATTCAGTTGTGAAAATGAGTGATAGTGGGTGTAATAAATATTAAATAAATTCTGAGAAAAGAGAGATTAGGAGAAAGAATTGCTTAGGGGAGGTTCATGATAGGGGAGGGGAAGAGATGGCTTATTATGATAGGTGTTGAATAAGATTTGAAAAAGAGGGAAGAAAAACTCGTTCCTAAGCATTCACAGATGTGAACATGAGAATTACAGCTGTGTATTTTGTGACAGTGGAAGACTGGTATAGTTGGAAGAGTTTCAGGTAGGAAATATAATGAGATAAGCTGAATTTCATAGATATTTGGAAGCTACTGCAGTTTCTCCAGGTGGGGAGGGACATAATAAAATAAAAATGGTAGCTTTTTTAGACAACCAGTGCAGTCTCTCTAGTGAAGACGTAAGCTAGGCAGCAGGCTGGAGGACCTCTGCTAGGGTGCCAGAGGTACTGAAAGGAAACAGATAATGTGGGATGCCAAAGGAAGTAGCTAAGATTTGCTATCTATGAGCAGGAAACAAAGGTTAAGGCTGATGTCTGGGTACTTGAGAAATGGGAATGTTTCCAGAGAACGCTTATGTGGGGGTATACAGTTTGCCATTAATTCATCTCTAAGAGATAATAGACCAGCAAGCAATCAGTAAATGAAGTTGTCTGTCAGGATTGAGGATGAAAATAAAACAGCTTTTGCATTGAAACCCTGGGTGGGAGACTGACCGAGAATACAAGGGATCGTTTGAGAGAAGTTGAATATAAGCCTTAATTTCTGTGGTAGAAATTGAGAAAACCGTGAAAGGGAACCTTTGGAATGATAAAATAAGCACCAGGATGATGTGTATGAATACACCCTAAAGGACAGGCTTGTGGTCAGCAGTGTCAGATTCCAGGTCAGGAGGGAAGGAGAGAAAGAGCCTGTCTAATTTGAGGCCATATAGAAAAGTAGTGGGTGGACTTTCAGGAATCAAACTCTCATTGTATTTTTATTATTGTTATTTTTTTTAGTTTGCTACAGAGCACCTGCACTTGCCAGAGGGGGTGAGGGTGGTGAGAAGTCACCCCTATGGGGATGGCCACACTGCGGTCCCTTTCCTCCATTCTCCTATCAGGATTTTGGATACACACACACTCACACTCACCCAGCATGTTTTTTAAGCCACTGGGTTCAGGACTCAAATCACACAATGGGATCTAGCCACTTTAACTACCACACTACCAGCTGGCTCCAAACTCTGAATTTTTTTTTTTTTTCAGGTTTTTGCTATAGAGCATTTGCACTCACCAAAGAGAGGCAAAGTGAGAAATCACCCCTATAGAGAAGATGGCCATGCCTCAATCCCTTCTCCTCCGTTTTCCTCTTGGGATTTTGACTACCTATACATATGTGCCTGGTGTATTTCTTCAGACTGCTGGGTTTGGGACTCAAACCAGTCAGTCATGTGGGAGTCTGTACCTTAACTACCACACTATCTGCTCATCCCCAAACTGTGCTTTTAAATCCTGGCTACCCACTTGCTTGACTGTATGATCCTAGAAAGTCACTCAGCTTCATTATAAGCACCCACTTCCTTATCTGTAAAATGAGAGTAACTACTGACATTTAAAATGAAGACTGGTGGGACCTACAGGTGGTGTGGTGGCTAAGGCACTGGACCCTCCTACATGGCCAAACACAGTTTGAGTCCCAGACCTGGTGGCTTGCTTTCTTGCTCGCTTGCGCGCTCTGTGTGTGTGTGTGTGTGTGTGTGTGTCTTTGGTCAAATTAAAATGAATGAATGAATAAAATTAAATCTTTAAAATAAATAAATTAAATTAAATTAAGACTGGTAATACATTGAAGTTTAGGGCCTAGCGTACACTCGGTAGTCAGTAAATATGAGCCTCTTTACCTCTCTGTCCTGTCAGTCTTGGTTAGATTACCTTTATATTGCATTTGGGGCACTTTTCCTAAAGTTTCTTCTGTCTGCATACTTTTTTTCTGAATTCTGTTCTGCCCTCTAGATACCCTCACCTAACTCTCTCAAAATAAAATCAAACTTCGACCTCTCAGGATGAACTCTTTCTCGTTACTGTCTCCCTTATGTTGCAGCCACAACCTCCACCTGCCCTTCTGAATCCCCTTTCTTGGTTGGCATTGCCATCCTTGGAATCACAAAAGTGGGTGAAGTGAGAATTAGTCTGACCTACAATTCAGGTTCAGCATAATTTGGAGTCAGTCTTACCTAGATTTGAATCCTAGCTCCCCAGTTCACTAGCAGCTATTCTTCCGCAAGTGACTTTCTTTGGGTCTCCATTTCCCTGTGTTAGGTGAAGAGAAGTCGTAGGAGGTAATGCTTGTACAGGGCTCTCTGCATACCCTTGTCGCACATCGGGCGCTCGGGAACTGGTAGCCTGTTCTGTTACAGCCCGCCTCCCTCTCTGCCCTAGATACTCTGTGCCCACCCAGGTACACGTGCTCTCAGTCATACCTTGTTTCTTGGCACTCTTCTGCCACCGTGACGGATCAGCCTACCTAGTTTCATAAGTGGACATCCTGCCTCTGTTCCAGGCACCTCCCATCTCTCCATTGCCATGGGGCATTATCTAAGTAGATATAGTAAGTGACTCCCTCTCCCCCTGACTTCTATCAGTACACTGGCTTCTCCTTGCCTCTAATGATAATTCTTTTTCTTTTAAATATTTTTAAAAATTTACTTATTTAATTCCATTTGTTATTACTATTATTTTTCTTTTTAAAAAAAAAAAACTTATTTCATTTAACTTTATTTATTTTAATTTGACCAGAGAGGGACAGAACAAGGGTAGGGGCCAGGTCCAGGACTCAAACCACTGTCGGCCATGTGGGAGTCCAGCGCCCTTAACCACCATGCCACCTGTTGGCCCCATTACTGTTATTTTTCATTTTGACCAGAGAGAAGGAGAAGCAAGAAAACAAGCTGCCAGGTCTGGGACTCGAACCATGGCCTGCCATATGGGAGTCTAGCATCCCAAACAGCACACCAACTGCTGCCTCCTTTGGCAACCGCCTTCCCAGTGGTCACTGCCCTGGCTTGGCAGGGCATTCCGGCCCACGGAACAGAGTCTGGTGGGGAGAGAAGGTCCAAGGCCTCCCCATCACCCCCATGGGCCCTCCCACCCCAACCCATGGCAGATGGGTCTAGTGATAATTCTTAGCAAGATATATATTTTCTCCATTTGGGCTCTTCCTGTTTCTCCTCTGTCTTTTCTTTCCTTCACGTCCATTCTACAGCCTACACAATTTCACAAATGTTCCCTAAGCCATCCTTCAAAGGCTTACTCGGGCAAGTTCCTCCTCACCTCTTATGGATTCTTTTGTAACTTCTAGGTCCATGGTGAGCAATTTTTGAGGATTCAGATGATCGTGCCGTAGGCTTTTCTCTAATTAGATAATGGTACGGGGAGGATACGTAAGACCCACGTACCAGGCTCTGCCGTATCATCTGTTGGTATTTATCAGACTGACATCTCTGCACACACTTGTGCACAGACATCCAGAGAGCTCCTCCAGGAATATGAGTATATTTAACAACTGTAAACTTTGCTGGAAGAATCTTCCCAGTTGTTTGTTAATAACAAAGAATTATTTGACTAGTCCTAGTGAAAGCACGAAAACAAGCCAAATTTGATTTATACCATTCTATGTGAGAATGTTAACAAGAGAGCCACTTGCATCCCTAGCTGTTGTATTTAATGCTGCTGTCTTATCTCCACCCTAGGTCTGAGAAACATCTTACCTATCACAACAGCAAAGGTGCCAATTGTGAAGTTCTTCCATTTGAGAAGTGGTCTAGAAGTAGATATCAGTTTGTATAACACATTGGTAAGATTTTCTTCAGGCTTTTTCTTTAGGGAGATTAGGGGAATGAATGTCTCCTAACTCAAAATCTCAAGTTAAACGAGCTATTAATTTCATCTTCCTCTTTCAAGAGTTCCCATATGGGAACCAGCAGTTAGCGTAATGGCTATGTCACTGGACTCCCATGTAGTTGACCGCGGTTTGCGTCCTGAACCCAGTGGCTTAAAACTCACGCCGGGCACGTGTGCATGCGTGTCCAAGATCCCGAGAGGAGAATGGAGGAGAAGGGATTGTGGCGTGACCATCCCCCCTGGGGGGTGATTTCTCGCTTTCTGTCTCTATGTCTCTCTCTCTGTCTGTCTGGCGAGCGCACACACCCTGTAGTGAAAACCGCTCAAAAAGAAAAAAAAAAAGAGTTCCCATAGTGCTGCATAACTGTGTTATAGGTAGTGTCCTGAGGCTGGGGATATAACAAAGACCCCAGTTAATGATAGTGTTCATTTAAAATGAGGTCATGGGACCAGCAGACAGCGTGGCTGGACTCCCACATGGCTAATCAGAGCTCAAGTCCCAGACCCAGAGGCTGGAAAGTCGTGTGGGTGCGTGTGCATGTGTGCCCCGAAGTCCCAAGAGGAGAATGGAGAAGGGATATGGCATGGCCATCCCCCACCCCGCCCTCTCTCCAATGAGAGCACATGCCCTACAGCAAAAATTGAAAAAGAAAAGAAAAATGAGGTCAGGATGGCAGGCTCTTGGGACCAGCAGGTGGCATAGTGATTATGTCACTGGACTCCCACATGGCCCACTGCAGATCAAGTCCCAGACCTGGTGACTTGAAAGTCACACCAGGAGCCTGTGCATGCATGCCCAACATCACAGGAGGAGGATGGAAGAGAAGGGATTGTGGTGTGGCTGTCCCCTCGGGGGGATGTCTCACTGTCCCTCTCACTATCTCTCTCTCTTTTTTCTCTTCTGGCAAGCACATGTGCCCTAAGGCAAAAACTTCTTTACAAAAAAAAAATGGCAGGCTCTTGTGTTTGGCTTGAACTTCCCTCTAATTTGGGTTGGGAGTGTCTTTGGAAGCACCTGTACACTTTCAGATGACCACAGTGTTACACAGGTGACCTCAGCTTTCCTGGGTCTCACACTGGGTTTGCTATGGGACTTCCTGGGCCCTCTCTAGCCCTAAGGACATTTAATTGGAAGAACACCTTGAGGTGAAAGTGCTGGGTGGGGATTGATCCTACATCTATCTAAAGGGAAATGATTGTTTACTTCAATAGCCCTTATTTTCTACATGTTGGGGACAGAGTAACATAATGGCAGTCATTAGGCCAGAAGTTATCATTTTTTCACTATTGCCTAGTAAATTGATGAAGCTTGTCTTCAGGACAGAAAGGTTAATTTCATTGTAAATATCTTCTCCCTAAAAGGAATCATAGTGCAAACCTTTCAGAATATTCCGGCTTCAGACTTCTAATCGATAGCCTTATGGTATAATTTCCTTTTTAACAGGCCCTTCATAACACAAGGCTTTTATCTGCCTATTCAGCCATCGATCCCAGAGTGAAATATCTGTGCTATACCATGAAAGTATTCACAAAGGTGAGTGTGCTTCCTGTAATGATTTATTACATTTCAAACCTTGCTGAAAACATAAATTTATATATTTTTAACAGAACGTAGCCATGCCAGATGCTTCCTGTAACTATTGGGGAAGCCCTACCCAGCAAGCTAAAATTTCATGGTCTTAAATTATACAGAATGATCTGATCTTACTTAGGGCTAACAGTTTGCTGCTTTGTTGGGTTTGATTTGACTTGGATGATTTGGTTGACATAATTTAGCTTTTAAAAATGTGATTTTTCGGGACCAGCAGTTAGCTAATGGCTATGTCACTGGACTCCCACGTAGTCGACCATGGTTCAAGTCCCAGACCCGGTGGCTTAAACTCACGCCGGGTGTGTGTGCATGCGTGCCCAAGATCCCGAGAGGAGAATGGAGGAGAAGGGATTGCGGCGTGGCCATCCCCCCTGGGGGGGTGATTTCCTGCTTTCAGTCTCTCTGTCTCTGTCTGGCGAGCGCATGCGCCCTATAGCAAAAATCTCTCAAAAAAAAAAAAAAAAA